ACAGACAGACAGACAGACAGACAGACAGACAGACAGACAGACAGACAGACAGACATGGGGAAGAGAGAGATGAGGTCGATTGCGAACAGGGTAAAAGAAAATAAGATTAAGACCGGAGATGAAGAAAGAGCTACACATATGCATGAAAAGAGAATAAAGCAATCTTTAGTGCTTTTAGAAACAAGATAATAATATACCTGTATAATTTTTCGACCACCCTGGGCGCTTTTCAAATTTCGCTTCATCCTGAAAGCTGTCCGTCTCCCTTGGGGAGCGGGGTATTATCTGTCATCCGGTAGCATTGCCATCATTCTTTCCCTCAGACAATTTCCCAAGCATGCAAGACGTGCATTATTTTGTAAATTGCACAAAAGAGCGGTATTGCGTTCCCGGAACGACACAAGATAAAGGGGGGGGGGGAGAGAAGGCCGTTATGCAGTGGCAATGTGCTGTGCTGTGTCGTGTGTTGGTTCAGCGATGTGTCGCCTGCTAAACCCCAAGGCCACAGTCTAAATCAGTGAGTGTCTGTCTCGTCAATGCCCTTGAGGAGATATCGGATAGAATGAAGAAAAAGAGAAGACAAGAAGAAGAAGAAAAGAAAAACACTAAACAAAGAAGCGCTTAAATTATGTTTCTTTCCCCGAAGGTCGAGCCGTCGCTAAAACATTCTGTGTTCAGGGCCGAAGCTATAACTTTTTGGCAAAACTTTGTGTTGGAGGACGGCAGACAGGTGTCGGGAGAGGAGACGAGATGAAGAGGGGAATCTGGAGGCTGGCATACCTAGGACAAAACTGCAAGGGCGGTCCAGACACTGAGGGGAATATTCTGTTTTGTCTTTCGTCCAGATGCAAAGAATGAAATGTTTTTGTTGGAACGGAATCTACCACGCCATACGCCAGAAAAGTTCCCTAAGGTATAGAACATCTGAGTCTCACTGAAGTGACGATAGGTGCTTGGTTTTTTTTAAAAACGCAAGACGGTCAAAATTAGGGGGAAAAGAGAAAGAAAGAGAGCGAGGGGGGGGGGTTATCAAATATGGGGAATTTATTATATCGTTACCGACACTTTTTCTTCTTCTTCTTCTTCTTTTTCTTCTTCTTCTTCTTTTTCTTCTTCTTCTTCTTCTTCTTCTTCTTCTTCTTCTTCTTCTTCTTCTTCTTCTCTTCCTCCTCATCCTCCATATTCTCATCATCATCCTCCTGCTCATTCTTCTCCTCCCCTTCTTCCTGTTTTCCTCCATCTCCTCCTCCTCCTCCACCTTCCTCTTCCTTCCTCCTGCTCCTCACCCCAACCTTCATCATCAGTACCAAACTCACCTCCTCATAATCCAACTCCTTGAGCAGCGTCAGAGATCCCTGCACCTCGTCCAACAAGAAATACTCCTTTCCCCACTCCGACTGCAGCTCGTAGGTCACTCTGGCGTTGAGCCCGTTGTCCTGGTCGGTGGCCAGCACATGACCGATGGTGGCGCCGGGCCTGGCACTCTCCAGCACCTCGAACGAGTAGAAGGGTCGGTCAAACGAAGGGGCGTGGTCGTTGATGTCCACTACGGTCAAGTGCAGGCTGGAGCGGACCTGGTGCTTCCCGTCACTGGCGTCCACGGACATCCGGTACGTTCGTTGTTTGCCGTAGTCCAGGGGCTTCACCGCCGTCACAACACCTGGGGCGAAACAAAAGTATTGTAAATGTTTTACGCCCACATCAACACAACTGAAATCAGTGTTTGCCGACCTAGGCGATTTTGGTGACTTTAGTAAACGATGGGGTTGAACCATCAGGTATCATTTGATGCCCCGCTTGGGAATATATTACATGTATGTAGAAGGGCGGTACGAAAATGTTAGACTCTAAAAGGTGGCAAAAATTGGGGCTTGTTATAAAATGGTTGACAAAATTAGAGTTTGACCATTAACTGAAAGAAAACAATACTATTTAAACTTAACATTTTTAGAACTTCATGTCTTTAGCTAAGACGTCGCTTTGCCCAGACATGACCAGCGCTGAAATAAACAACCCCCGTTCACCACGAATAAAGAGGGCAACGTTTCAACTCCTTAGTGTGTGTGTGTGTGTGTGTGTGTGTGTGTGTGTGTGTGTGTGTGTGTGTGTGTGTGTGTGTGTGTGTGTGTGTGTGTCTGTTTGTGGGGTGGAGGTAGTGAGGGGAGGGGTGGCATAGAGGTATTCTTTCTGGTATCTTCGTCTTTCTTTTTTCCTGCAGGAACGTTCGTGTATCTTTATCAAGGTGTCTTTTTCGCAGATGATTGTCTTGGACAGGTGGTCGTTTGAGCAGGTCCGACTGTACAAGGGCAAAGAAAGAAGAGAGAGAGGCAAATCGGGTTACTCACCATCTTGTCCAATTCTGAAGTTGCCGGAGTCTGGGCCAGACAGGGTCAAGGACAGGGAGGCGGTCGGGTCAGGGTCAGTGACGAAGACGCGGGCGACGGAGGAGTCGGACTGTCCGGCCTCCTTGACCTCAGCATCGTACAGGGAGCTAGAGAACACCGGCGGGTTGTCGTTCTTGTCTACGATGGAGATCTCGACCTGAAGGAACAGAACAGAATAATGTCGTTTAAAGCAACAGTTTATCATAATATTTTTCATTTGAGCAGAAAAGAAAAATACCGTTTAAAGTTACAGTTTATCACATTTCATTTGAGCAGAAATGAAAAATACCGTTTAAAGTAACAGTTTGTCATAATATTTCCTTTGAACAGAACTGAAAAATGTCGTTAAAAGCAACAGTTTATCATTTGAGTTTGACTAAAGAGGTATCGACACAATATTGGCCATATGATTCAAGGAAGAAAAATGACAGATAAGCAGAAGGAAGGAAAAGAAGTAAGACAAACCAGTGGCGCCCTCCAACCACCCACTCATATTCTAAGAGGATCGGATCGACTTGAAGTAAGGCAAAACGCGGATCATTTTCAAGAATGCGGATTTCCGGATAATTTAGCCGGAAATTCGGAACATCTGCGTCATATATCACGCATGTTTGGTTTTTTGTTTGTGGGGTTTTTTTGTGTTGGTTTTTGTTTTTAACCTCCCATTCAGCCAGTCCTTCACCCAAATTCTTTCCCCCAAATCAGCTCTACGTGGTCGCTAGAGACCACACCAACCTGCTATATCAAAGTAACCCGTGAGTCACTTAAAGCTGATAAGACTTTCAACGTTCACGTTTAGATACGTGCTCGGCACTTGAAACTTGGAAACGTCACAGACATTCCTTTTTAGAAAGTTGAAAAACCTCCGGATTACGAGGCCGATATGACGGGTCTCTTGGTATTCCAGTACTGTTTTCACACCTGTGTGGGGTGAATACCTAGATTGCTGCCAGGTCGGCAACGGGGGCTTTCTTCAAGTCCTTGAGGGTCTTATTTAGATAGAATGTTACCACTTTTATAATCTTTATTCTTTCAAACTAATTCTTTCTCCAGAATTTATTGTTTGACGTTTCTGAATCATTGATTTCAAAACTATAAAAAAAAAGGCAGACCTTAGAAGGTTGCTGCTGGGACGTAAATAACTCTCTCTCTTTCTCTCTCTCTCTCTCTCTCTC